AGATACTACACTTACCTCCGCGTTTTTGTTGACACCGCCGTGCTCGTTCAGTTTGAACGAGAACATCAGGTTTCCAGAGAGCTTGAACCATCGTTCCTTAAAGCCTGAAGAGATCCAATAATTCGGCCCAGAAAAAAAAAACATTAATCGGAAAAAAAAAGTTTATCGACGCGATTCAAATTCCTCGCGGGAGTTTCCGTCCACGAAAAGAATGTCGTGTTTTACTCTTGGTATCGTTCAGGATTTCTAAATTGGGTTGAAAGCATCTCTACTAAAGTTTCATTCGTAGCTACACTCGAATTTCGCTCATGTCATTTCATGCGCACAAAAGGTCGAAGGGAAAAGAAAGAGACAAAGGGCCAACCTTGAACTTTCTTCTCGGAGTAATCTTCTGGCGGTCCGAACAGAAGCCTTCCTTCGATCTCACCAGGAGTTTTCGATCGGCAAACGTTTGCCAGCTCCTTCTCGTTCACGCGGAGAGGCATGACGACAACACCACCACGAGATCACGCGATTCATTTCAACGCGCGGAATTTCCGCGCAAGAATAAAACCTGAATTGCATTCAATTTCGGACATCCTCCAGTGAATTTGCATTCTCTGTTTCTCAAATTAACGCACAAGAAACTCGCACAGGCAAATAAACACAGATTCTTCATTTCTACCCAGCATTCTATGATTAAAAAAAAATAAATAAAATAAAAACAACAAGGCCACTTTTGTTTCCGAGATTTTTCCGAAAAATTCAACTTTCCCAAATAGATTCCGAAAACCAAAATTGAAAAAATTGTCGATCAAATTTTCATAATTTGTTGACCATATAACCTAGAAAACGGCCATTTATACTGTCTTGATTCACCTCAATCCATATTGACGCGCTAAAAGCTCATATCAAATTCTTTCCTAATGAAACCCAATCACTGATTCCCTTTCACCCTTCCAACATCACCACGATTATTTGAAGCAACCCGAACTCCACCTTCCCGAATCATTCGCAGTATGCTTTTCTTCAGTTAAAGTTTCTTTTGCAAGCAGGCAACAATTTTCTTCACGTAATGTGATCTCGTATCCGGGATTCAGCCCCTTCGAAAAGCTTTTCCAGCAGTTCATGAAGGTGTGATATTCGTACAGTTTGTCATACTATGACCATCAATTCCTCAACTTTGAATCAATTCATAAGCTTTGAAGAGCGACGGAATGTAGCTTCGACACACGTTATGGAATTCTTCGGAAAATGCCATGAATCAGGACGCAATGGAATCTTCCGAGGGTTTACTTCAGTTAGAGATCTATGCATTACTCTTTCCTATTGCTTGAATAGAGCTAACAATTTACGAATAAACAAAGAGCGTTCAGAAAACACTTCTTATCCGTGTTAACCGGAATACTGGAAACACTACAGTAGAATCTCATAACAACGAACTCCCAGGGACTGTAAAAAAAAATTCGTTGTAAACAAAAATTCGTAATATCGAGATTGATGGATTTATTAACAGAAGTGTACATTTCATCATCTGTAGAAGCCTTTTATTGTCTAAAAAACTGCAGTTATTTTTTCTCTCTGCAATATCTGTACCAATAAATCTCTTTTACAAAATGGTTACATTTGAAAATTAATTTAAAATTGGTAAAATAACTCACCACAAAAGAGCATTGGAAAAGGAACAGATTATCGCAGATTTTGGTGGCTAGGGAGGCACTGTGCTTACAGACGCCTGAGACGTTGGACTTTAGATTAATCAGGATAGTAAATAAAATACCCGAAGGACGGTCAGTCGATTACATTGGGTAAAGATCGAAGGACATAAAAACTCACGTACTAAGACGACGTCTGTGTAAAGGACGGGTGATAAACCTACTACTCGGAGTCCTACTTATCATACAAGAATTGGGGACCAAAAATTTGGACATTTGGGACAGAAAATCTTAAATTATTTTTGAGTGCATGATTCTGCTGCAGACACATTTCCTGCCCACTATTTGGATGATGAGCCTCAGGATGTTATCATACAAGAATTGGGGACCAAAAATTTGGACATTTGGGACAGAAAATCTTAAAATCGAATGAAAAATGTTAAAAATTTGGGAGAAAATTCGTTATAACCGGAGAGACTTCAGAAAAGAAATTCGTTATAATGAGATTAATTTAGGCTGTTCCTTAAGGATAGCTACCAGGACTGAAAAAAAAATCGTTGTAGGCAAAAATTCGTTAAAACGAGATTCGTTGTAATGAGATTCTACTGTATCTGGTTCCAGGTCGAAAGTTTTCTTTTCTCCGAAGCTTTTCTTAATATTTCTAAAGCAAAGATTTAATTTTTACTTCATAATCCAAAAGCTCTCGTAAGGTTCTGAAGATTTCCAAAAAATACATACTCTTTTAATTTTGATTCAGAACAAATATCACAATAAGGCATTTAACGAAGAAAATATTGTAATACCCTATATTCGCGAGCGCCTGAAGCCAAATAAGGCACTTTGGCATCACAGGCAACAAGTAGTGGATCTCATCAGGCACTACTTCTACTGGGAGCAACTTCTGATGAATAGCAAGAAAAGATGGCGAATCTTGCAATTATGGCACAGTTGCTCATCCGCATATCACTCCAACCAAATGAGGTCAAGGAATTCTCCCATCAAGATGATAAAAAATTCTTTGCAAATGCCTTCAGCATCAACTGCTATTTCCAAAACAACACGATCTATACGAGAATCATAACATAGATATTGAGCATCAAACTCAACACTGTTCTTCACCAATGACCACAGATATTAATCACAACCTCAACACCTCTCTTCTACAATGCTTGCATCACCATTTTGAGCAGATATAAGTGCAATGGGGTTCATTTATTTTGAGTCCGTCTATTGATATCAGCAGGTTTCTTCAGTCATGTCTGCTGCACTCATTTATGAGATGACAACCTCTTTGCACAGATATAATAATGAGGAATATTAGAAAAGTCGAAAATCCACCAATCTGCAGCATAGCTTTCAACACCTGACCAACCTCTTGGTGACCATCACGAAAAGCTGAACAACGAGTCACGTTCTCTTCCGAAAAAACAGCTTTCCTCAGGAACCCCTCTACATGACATTTATAAAAAGCTAAAGCTAAATATAAAGAAATCGAATCGTCAACCACGGCACCTCTCTGCAACAATGTTTTCACCACCTCTTCACGATCATTCACTGCAGCAAAATGTAAGGGGGTGCAGTTGTCTTTTTCCCGGGCATTAACATCTGCACCATTATCCAACAATACTTGCACCAATTCCTCATGACCGTTTGCTGCAGCCCTATGTAACGGGGTCACTCGAGGAAGTTCATATTCCCCTCCAGCCAACATACATTTTAAGATTTCAGGGTAATAAGCAAGGGATCGGCATAAAAATTCAACCATATGGATATGAACTTCTTGAGCAGCATTATCCAGTGCTGTGAATCTTTCCAAGTTATTTTCATTGCAAATGTATTCATGTAGTTCATCACCCCATTGGTTCAATGCTTCTGTCTTCTTCAAGAGCTCCGGAATAAAATGGTTCTCTAAAAAGAGGCGCAAAACTGGTCTTTTGGGTAGCATAAGTACTTCAATGAACAGTCGTTTTGCTTTAATGAATCGATCCCCTGCTGGCTGATCGGGTTCCAGGAACAGCTGCTGCTCTAAGTAGGTGGCGACAAAGTAATCTGCAAAGGTTTCATGTAAAAATTCATGCTTTCCATTCACCAACTGCACAATCCCGATGCCGGAAATATCTTCTGGTACTTTTTCTTCATGCTCTGAAAAGCTCGGAAATAATTGCTTCAAGGCCAATTGCTGATGCGCTTTAAGATGTATTCCCCTCAAAGTATTCTGCTGTTTCTTATTAATGTTATTTCTTTCTTGGAAGCAAATTTCAAATTTTCTATCCACAAATTTTCCATACAGTGCAAAGGGCGTCAAGTTTTCAAATAGTTTCGCCAATTCGGCAGGTTCTGATACTTGGCGATGTTCTTCAAACTTCGGCAGGTAAACTTCGGCTAGAATTCGAATTTGCAAGGGAATACCGATGAATTTCCCAATGGTTGAACCTAACGAACGGGCAGCTTTTTCAAGTAATTCAGAGGAAAAAATCGCGTAATTGAACCCATCTAGTTCTTTGCTGGAATATTTCAATTGCAAACTATTGCGCCAAAACTCGAGTAAAAGCTGTTGCTGCTGATCATTTTCAAGTGGGTAAAATTCAATGGCCAACTGAGCCAACTGATTTTCCAACTTCTCACTGTCGGTTTTCCTACTACTGATCCATACTTCAGCTGAGCTCTGCTCTTTGAGAAAACGCAAGAAGCGTAACGTTTTATCCTGTAGTTCATCGTCTATTTGATCAAATTCATCCAGCAACAGAAGCGGTACTTGAACGGGAGCATGATTATTCGATTTCTTCAAGGCATCACGTAAAAGTTCTTTGCTCAGCTTTTTCTCCACTTCGGACGCATTTTTTGGTTCTAGCGTTTTCATTTGCAAGAGAAACTGCATCACAACAGCCAAGTTTGTTTCACCATCATCAGTAAATTGTTCTTTGAGTGCTTCTTGGCACTCCTTCAAGTTGAGTAAAATGACCAATCTCCCTTTTCGTTCTTGTTCTACGGCCAAGTGAGCCAGGGCGGTTGTTTTACCCATACCAGGTTCGCCGGAAATTATTTTCACCGATTGCGGCAGTTGAGTCAAACTTTCTTCATCCAACCATTCCAGGTTGCCTCTATTCATATACGGACGTAATGGTTCTAGTGTTCTAGATGAGGCACGCCACTGGAAAGGGTCACCATTCTCCCCGTTGGTCACCTGGAACCAATGGATATTCCGCTCGGGGTGTTCTCTAGTTAATTCTTCAAATTTTTTCTGAGCTGACTTATCCTCATCAACTAAGGAAAGGTTTCCTCGATTGATACGCTCTTGCAGTTGCGTTTCTTCTTCTGATGTTGGGGCGATAAGGAGTATTTTTGACAACAGTTCAACCCATCTTTTCTTTCTAGTTTCCCCATCCTGTTCTTCTGATTGCTGGAGTTGTTCAGACCTTAAAAAATGGCTAATCACCCAGCGATCTTCTGAAGAATCGGTCAGCAGCAACGCCTTTACCTCAAATTGAATAGTAATTTGAGAGTAGCGCGTGAAACGTCGCTTGATATAGAAATTCGGGTAGTAAAACTGTTTCCGAAGCCACTTTTCTGGCCTCATTCTTTCAATCCAGTGGATTGATTTGGAGGGGTGCTGATTACAAAATTCTCTAAATGCGGATGAATTATTCGCTGGTAAGGTAAGAGGTTCATCAGCTCTCATTTCTTTGAAGTCAATCTTTAACTGGGTCATTAATTCCGATCGATTAGGTTTTTCTGACCCACTGAAAACAAACAGCGTATTCGGATCACGCTTCAGTAGGGCTTCCTTTAAATATTTTGGCGAGATACCTTCGCTGAGCTTGATATAAGCATTTTCAAAGCTGCTCGGTTGCAAAGGTTCTTTTCCGACTCTAAGCTTTTTTGACCCCGCGATAAGCTCCTCAATCGGTAACTTCTCCAGGACATCTCGTGACTGGATGGACAACAGTTTGTTCAAGGCGACGAGCTGTCCTTGAAGATTAACCGTTTCTTCTAGAAGTTTTTTCTGCGATGCATCAGTGAACTGGCTAAAACCTACAACGTCAGTAGCTTCTTCGAGTCCCGTCAATTCGATTTGTAATTCCTTCAATTTGCCTTTCAATGCCTTGGAATTTTCCTCTTTCGCAAAAAAAATAAGGCGTTCCTTTATTTTAAAACTTTTTATAGTTAACCAAAGGTCATTTTCGCTTTGCTCATACTCAGAAGAGTAGTCGATTAGCAACGTGACTTCCCGATTTGATTGGAGAATGTCATATATTTCTTTGCTCATTTGCTTGAAGTGACTTACCGAAAGAAAGAGATATCGACCGCTGATTTTAAAAACCTCTAGATTCTTTTCCTTTTTCAAACTTTGGCAAAACTTTAAAATACTTAGTTTCGCTGAATCAGTGATTACAAGTCGAACTTTTCCCTCAGACACGAACCGGGCACTGAAAAGGTGATGATCTTGGAATTCCAAAGATTGAATTATTTCTTGCAGTTGGAACGAAAGCGAATTATTCAGTAATTGCACTTTGCGGTTTTTAAATTCGCCGGGGTTTTTGATAAATGCTTCTAGAGTGGGCTTGATTCGCCCGTTATAAAATTCAAGAAGACCTCCGGTTTGCTCGAGTATTTTTTTTCCCTCCAGGCTGCCATAATGGGCAAAAATCTGAATGACTCGAGCAATCAATTCAGATGGCCATTCTTCACTAGTATAGTTATAAACTCTCTCAATAATCGGGTGTAACTTTTGTAAATTAGCATATTCGCACACGATTTTAACGAAATCCCGCTTCGTTTGTTCATCCAATGCCTCAAAAGGATTGCAATGATTGTCGTAGCAAATATGGTACGCCATATGAGCTAACTCCTGCGCTAGAATACCCAAGACTTCGTTTTTCTCTATTGGATAATCATCGGCCTGTTCGGAATCTTTTTTGCTAAAGATAGCAAGTATTCACGACATCGTTTTTCATCTTTTTTATCGATGGGAAGCCGAAGTTCCACGATGGTAAAAAACCAGTATTTTGCTTTTTCATAGGCTTGATAAAAATACTCTTCCCTCATAAACTTCAAAACTTTGTCTAATGTTTGATCAGTGGTTATCTTCAGGATTTTAAATTTAACATTTTCAGTGTTTTCATTAATAGTTCTTGACCAATCATCTTTCAATGTTGGCCGATCTTCTAGATTAAATTTTTTGGAATACATCTCGAGGCGGTCAGGTAACGTCACAGTATCAATAGGCATCACAGTTTCAATAGATCTCACAGTATCTTCCGACACAATGGCCTGCGACGTGGATGCAGAAGCAGGAGGTTCCTCCCTGCCGTTTGCGGATGGGTCCGATCGTTGCATCTCCAGCTGCAAAACGAGCCGAAGATCCGGGGAACCGGTTGCACAAAGGCTCTCCCCAGCAGGAATGTCCACAGTTAAAAATGTAACAGTTGGTGGGCTACTTGACAGCAAAAGAGGCGACTGCAACTGCTGATCAAGAGTTAAAAAAAAAAGAAAAAAAGAAGCAAGTCAAATGACGTAACACGCTTCATATTCATGGCGAAGTGAATTTTAAAAATTTTAAACGATGCAATACTAAGGATGAAAAAATCTTCACGTGGAGCTTCAATGGGCGAACAACCCAAGCCTTCCAGTGCAGAGCGGTTTTTTGGGCTGTAGGCCTGTTTTCATCGACGTTTATTAACAAATGCAACGAAAATATATACTGTACTTCACTGTGGAACAAAGAAACATTACCGTGTTTCTTTGAGCGAGGTCTTCGGAACCCCCAAGAATGCTCCTCAGCACGCGCGGCGGAATTTTCTGACGGGAAGGTTGTGGATTTTTTTTCAAACTTTTCTCTCTTCAACTCGTTATTGTGTTCTAAAAAGGGGACATCATCAATTTTGCGCGTGTCTCATAAAAAACCTTTCGGGAGGTTGCTACCTTTTCTGGTGATACAGTCCTCCTTAAAAACTGACATTTTATTGGGGAAAATCTGCTTGACAACGTCATCATCCTCAGCCATTCACTACCCAGACAGAAAAAAAAATCCTAATGCCTAAATATGTTGAAAACTTCACCTCAAATAATCGAGTTAACCGAAGGTCTTCCCTCAGTTGCTCACGAATCCGTACCTGAAAGTCGGGAGCTTTTTCAAGTACCCAATGCAGGGCACGGTCCGATCTTGTACTTTCTTCTCGGATTATTCTTCTGGCGATCCGAACAGAAGCCTTCCTTTAATTTCACCAAGAGTTTCCAATCTGCAAGCTCGTGTCAGCTCTTTCTCGTGCACGCACGCGGATGACAACACCAACACAAGCTCACGAGATATATTTCGAAGCGTGGAAATACCGGGCAAGATTAAACCTGGATCAGACAAATAGAAAGATTCAGATTTCAAGACAAGCAAATCCCGTGGATGGAGATGATTCATTTCAGTCCTTTACTCAGGGTTCAAGCAATTTCAAATCAAAAAGGTGACCATTTTTGATTTCAATGAAACACAATCTTCTGTCGAGGTTCTTCAAAAATATGCTAAGTTGACTTCAAAGGTACGCATTCTTGAGCTGATCCCACGTTTATCCGGATCACGAAGTTAGAAGGAAAATACTGTACTCTACCTTCGAAGTGAAAGTATTGGGTTGCATTTTTTATGACAGTTTATTTATTTATTTTGTTTTTCTTTAGCGCTGATGGGCAAAATAACCCAACCTTAAATGCAACATATTGACTTTTTTTCATAGCATACACCACATTATCGAGTTAACCGAGGGTCTTCCCTCAATTACTCACGAATCCGTACCTGAGAGTATGGATGTTTTTCAACTGCCCAATGCAGGGCAAGGTCTAATCTTGAACTTTCTTCTCGGAGTAATCTTCTGGCGTTCCGAACAGAAGCCTTCCTTCAATTGCACCAATAGTTTTCGGTCTTCAAGCTTGAGTCGGCTCCTTGTCGTGCGATGACAACACCAACACAAGCTCACGTATGTATAAATATTGTATTACTATTGTATATAATTTTTTTTATTTATTATTGTTTATATTCTAAAGCGAGGAAATACCGGGCAAGAATCAAATCTGAATCAGGAAAATAGACAGGGATTATTCATTTCAGCATTCGGGGTTTAACCAATTTAAAATGAACAGAAGACCATTTTGATTACCTCAGAACACTTTTTTCTGTCGAGGTTCTTCCAAAATATGCTAAGTTGACTTCAAAGGTGCGCATTCTTGGGTTCGATCACAGGTTCAGGTTTGTCCAAAACACAAGGGTAGATGGAAAATATCTTCTAAATTTAAAAATGGGTAATTTTGGTAACACACCGAATTGAAGGTCGTTTAAGTTGAGAATTCGGCGATAACCTCAGAAAAATTCAAAGCCATTCCTCCACGCAAGGAAATGATGTCGCACCAAAATCAGAACACAGAAAAAAAATCACCCACAATAACGCTAAATTGCAATTAAATTTTGAAATGATGCAAGCAAAAAATTAACTAACGTAATCGAAAATTTGTCGGACATTTCAGCTAATGCGTTAATTGCCATCACTGAGGAAACCGTTCGATAAGTGTTTCAAAGCGTTCACCGCATTCAACACTTCAAAGATTGCTCAGTACCGCAAAATGAAAATCACTTCTCATCACAACTATCAGAACTTCACGAATTCCCTTCGAATCATATTTCACCGCAGATCAAATTACATTCAATGCCTGCAACAAAAAATACAAAACACAGTCAGTTATGGCCATTAAAAACTACACATGCTTCTGCACTTTGTAAATCAAATTCTGAAAAAATGAGGAGTGGACAACAACTGACCCAAGCTCAATAACAGGCGAACAATTTTTAAAATGTACGTAATTCTCCCATGAACATTTGCACTCTTGGATAATGAGCAAAAATAAGGTCATGCGCAATCATGAACTAGTGTCCATCACGTTTCGAATCCACCCCGGTAACAAAAATTACGTTGTTCATGAATTTCCGGAGATGGAAGGCCTATACATTAGTTCTATATCACCCATCAATCACTCAAAAAACATTTCTGAACGCCTTCATAAGTCAACAGATAAAAAGGATTTAGGAAGCAGGTAATCGAAGTTGAGCACAAAGTCGAAAATCATAGGAAAGTTTTATGTAGAAAAAAATCACTTCAGAAAGAACTTCAGTTCAATGAGAATCACCGAACGGAAACCCGCACTAAACAGGCCAGAGAGGCACGTTAGTCACTTCCGCTTCTTGCTACGTTGCACATACGTAACGAGACGTGAATGTTCAAGAGAATGTCTTAGACTAGAGTGAATCCTTCGGTTTGTTGGATTGCCAACAGAAGCTTTTCTCTCAGCACTTGTGCGCTCTTGTATCGAGGAAGGTCGAGCAGGTTGAAGCAGGTGTGAGCTACCGGGAAGTATCGTTCACCACCTCCCGTCGGCTGGAATAAAAGCTGAAGAGAAAAAAACGAGACTTGAGTGAAAAAATCCGAAAAGACAAGGCGCGAATTCTCTGGTTCGTAATACGGGATCAAAGTACAGTTCAACCTCGATAATTCGAACCTGTCTACGTCAAATTTTTTTTCACGCCCCTGTCTAAATTCCCATAGAAACAATGCATTAAAAACATTCCTAACTCGACGGCTTTCCTTCACAATTTGAATTTTCTGGAAACCTTTTTGCTATTAATTTATTGTCACAGGAGGGAGAAAAGCAATAAAAATTTTTGATGCGTCTTGAAAGGAAGTGAAAGACTATTCGGGTGGATGAAACCCTTGTTTCCAAGTTCAGCATCGGGTCTATTCACGAAGAAATTTAATGCCCTGATTCCAGAATATTTCCAAATACAATTTCCTGTGATTATTCTTTCTTCCCCCAACATAAATTTGTTTTTCCTAATTTGAAAACCTCCACAATTTCTTTCAAAGTCTCGTAAAATTAGAACTGATTGTGGAACTGATCTGTACCTTCACAGATTTCATGCCGAGAATCGGTATCCTGTCAGTCCCGGTGAGAAATTTGAGGAAGCGCTTCTTCTCATCCGTCGTCAATCCATGGAAAACTTGCCAAAATAACCTGATGGTCGGGTCATCTTTCGTGTAACCGTTTTTGTACTCCGAGCTCTGTAAATTCACCATTCCATAATCCCGGATACTGATTTCTACAAACTTTCACGGTCAGGTCTAGTCACCTTTTCCAATTGATCCCAATCGTAGTCCTCGTTGCCAACGACGAGCTCCATCAATTCCTCAGCTTTGAAGAGCGACAGAATGTAGCTTCCACACACATAATGGAATCCCTTGTAAAATGCCGTGAACGAGGACTCAATCGAAGTGTCGAGGATGTACTTCACGTAAAGATCTACGTACTCTTTCCTAGTTCACGGAGAGAGATCTCTTTTAGAAAAAGCAATAATTTACGAGCTTACGAAAAACTCACTTATTTTCCTTGTTAACCGGAATATTGGAGCCACCTGGTTTCAGTTCGATTGTTTTCGTTTCTCCAAAGCTTTCTCTTGTTATTTCAAAAGCCAAGGCATAGTTTTCTTCCACATCTTCCCCTTCATACTCCAAAAGCTCTCGCAAGGTTCTAAAAATGTTCGAACATACACAATATTGATTTTAGGATCTCGACTCAAAAGGAGTCTCGACAGCGGAGGCCGTTCACAAAGAAAATACATGGACTACATTCGGGAAATTTGGAAGTGAATATTAACTCACTTTTCCATCACAGGCGACAGGTCGCGAATGTCATCAAGCCCGACTTCTTCTCCCAGCAATTTTTTGTACATCGCAAGAGGAAACGGTAAATCAATGATGGTGAAGTTGTAAATTGCTAATCCACATATCACTCCAACCAAGAAGTACATCGAAGTGTCTTCGAATGTTTCTTCGCTGAACCAAACCACGTTTGTTTCCGGATACGAAAAGAACATGCCGTATTTTGGGTCAAGCAATTCTCGCATCAAGAGAATGAAAAATTCCTTGCGAACACCTCCGGCATCAACTGCTTCTTCCCCCGCAAACACGATCTAAATGAGAATCATAACGTAGATATTAAACGTACAGGAAATATATAATTTAAAAATGTTTGCGGTAAGAAACAAAAGAGCAACGCATTCGAAAGCAATCCGTCGATGGCTAAGACGCATCCTTAATTTTTTCTTTACAAATTGAAAACAAAGAATTCGTTGATCGGACATGAAAAAAAATCGCAATCTCATCCAAGACCGGGAATTTTTCGGACCAGCACTGGTTTCATACAACGTGGTTTCAGCAAAAGGGAACTTCTTCAAGTTAAGAAGTTCCCTTTTGCTGAAATTTCTTTTATCCTCACGGGATGCTTCGAACACTGAAAACGTAACATTGGGGGACTATCAAGCATAGTACACATATAATTCCGATTTGACTCGCCCCTTAGGACAAAGAAAATGGAATATGTTCGCTCTCGTCATGACATCGCTGCTAGATAGATAGAGCGATTTTTTTATACATCCGCACATTCAATTTTTTTTCGAAACGATTGAACATGACTGTGATGTTTTTTTCAATTAAATTTGAGACTTAGAATTGAACGTTGAGGCTTGATTTGGTTGGCAGCGATCAGTTTCAACGTAAAGCTGAAGACCCAACTCAAGACAAAATAGTGACTTTCACAGGTACAGTACAGTAATTTGATAACGGAAGGTGCTTCCAGGCGAGTAAATTCGTCAAGTATTTTTGACGTCAAAAAAATTGAAAAGCATCTCACTCGCAATGGCTTCTTGAGATCTTCGGCCGGTGCTTTCAGAAGTTGACAGAGGGTATCACGAACAATGTTTTCACGGGTTACGATGAACACCATAAACTGGTTCTGCATGTCGACGTGCGGAAATGGAAACATTATGATCTGGGCTTCATTCATCGCAGAATGCATTTGCAACGCAGCGTCCGTTTGCAGCAACACGGTTTTTGACGCAGCATCGAATATAAACGGATAGTTGCAGAAGTACAACATATCAGGCTGCAATAAAGTCAAAATAATCCACCTGAGACTAAAATGAGGCCTTACATTTTTTTTGGGAAAGGGCCACAATTTTCTCACAAGTTTCCCAAGCAAAAGACGATTACCGTATTTCTGTTCAGTAAGAAATGAAGAATAATCTAATCAAAACAAAATACAGTTGAACCCTGATTTAGTGCCATCCTTTGTCCTGGCATATTTTGTGGCACTAAGCAAAGATTGAACTAAATTGGGAGTATTGTATCAGCATAAATTTTAGTTGAGGGACTCTGTTGTAGGTAAAATTGGCTTGTTTGTGGAATTTTTAAGCCATTGAGTCTAAGAGAGAAAGCCGCAGGAAATAATCTAAGACTCAAACAAACTGTTTTAACTGAATTTCATGTAGCAGTTTTGCATCAACCTTTAAATGAAAGCACACCATTTCAAGATCAGGTGGAGTGATATTTAATTTTTTTTAAAGAATATCCCAGTTTTTTAATTGCTCTTTTCTGTGGAGGACATCCGAATAATACCACCCAATTACACCAGATATAGAATTTTCAAAAATATCCTGAGAATGGGCATGTTATTCTAAGCAATAACCTAAAGATATCCAAAGAATTACGCCTTAATTTCTCTGAGTTTGGCCAATTATTAATTCAGGGCAGGAAATGTTTTGTGGCATTAAATTGGGGTTTCCCTTAAGAACACAATGGAGGGAGATTTCTTCAAGAGAAATTTGTGGCACTATGCAAAGGTGGCACTAAATCGATGGTTGACCGTATTTCGGAAGGTTCGAATCAGTCACATTAAGCGTTGAATATACAGTATTACAGTATTAGCATTTCATTTACCTCCTTGGATGGTGTGTAACGACGACGAATATAATCCTTCGCAATATCTGCGTAATCGTTCAGCTCTTCGATATAAAATTCTTGCGGCTTAATCTGCAACCGGTGGTCTTTGACGAGAGTATTAAGCATCGCTAGAACTTCCAACGAAATTTTCAAGTAATCTATTTCCATCCTCGTTCGATTGCCGTCCTTCCCGGCAGCAGAGTTCTTGAGAATAGTTTGAATCACGGTCTTGTAAATTGTCAAAATCCGGAAGAAAAGTTCGGGTGAAACTGTCGACCACCAAATGCCTACGAAAGGAGATAACTATTTTAAAGAGGATGACGCTTTCGAGAAAGAATACAGCCAAGACTAGAGAATTTCTTTAAAACGCTGGAGAAATGGCGCCATACCAAAAGATATTCCACTCATTATAAATCCTTGAGAAGCCCGTATTCGAGTTGGACACAAAAAGTTAGTTTCCGTTGATACGATTTCATGGTGCAGAAAAGTTGAGAAATAATTACCTATGACCCTTCTTGCGGAAGTGGGCAATGCCATGACCGATCTCGCAAACGGAATCTGGAAACTTCCTTTCTGCGCCGGATCAGAGAACTCGTGATAAAATGGCAGAAGTACATAAATTCTCAGCGCTTCCACATCCGGGGGTGAACTGGGCAACTTTTCGACAGCAGATTTCAAGCCCTTCCTTAACTAGACGACAAACATACAGTATTTTACTCCCAACTTCCAATCGAAAAAACGATTATCACGAATTACCGTCTTCAGAAGAACTTCGTTTTTGATCGCACCGACTGTCTCCCACAGCTCCCGCACTTCGTTCATATCAATCCCAACATTTTTGCTGCCACAGCCGTAATGACTTCCTTGCTTCAAGAACGACGCGTTCAGACACGTCGGCGTGCTCGCGATGCTTTCGACTCGACTGCAATCGAAAGTAATTATTCCAAGACACAATTATATCTGGCATCCAAAACATTGATTATCGGGAAAACAATTAAAATAATTAAATAGAGTTAAAATCGATAAGTCGAAAAAGTTACGCCAAATACCTCCCAATGTCAAATTGTTTTCAAGTCCCCGCCTGAATTGGTTAGAAACGATACATTGAAAACTACCCCAAGTCGAATGCTTTCCCCAAGAACCTCCATAACTCGAATTTTCTTACGCCCTTACGCTATTGAAGAGAAAAATAAAAATGTAACTTGATGTACTCAGAAAAGACGTGAAAAGACTTAGGGGAAATGAACCCGAGCCTCAAAGTTCAACATCCTATCAACTCATTCAAGAAGCAATTTCAAGCCCAGAGTTTCAATTAAATTATCCTGCTATTCATCTTTTGTTCCCTCAACAAAATGCTTGGCTCCTCAACTGGAACCGTCCGTAAGTCAAATTTGTTTCATGGTCCCTTGAAGTTCAACTTAAAGACGTTCGATTGCATGCTCCAAATCTTTAAAATTAAAGGTGAAATTTAATTGAAGCATAAAATATGAATTGTTCCTCAGGCGTTCATAAAAATTCAATTAAATATTAAATTAAATTCGTTCGCTACTAAATCACCTCAATTCTCATGATTAAATCGGGAAGGTTTGGGCAAACAAATGAAAATGATGCGTACATCAGAGACATCTGCCCACACTGAAACAATTCTTCATAATGATAAACGAAACCGAAGCTAACACATTGACGTATCGCAACAGAGAAACACGCTTTCACCGAACAATACAATTTAAGGTAACATTAGATGTACATTTCAATTAAAGCACTTCCAGCACATAGAAAATAATCGCCTTTAATGTGTGAATTAATTGTATTCAACGTTTCGGAATTACCATATGCAGGAAATTCAAGAAAGATTCACGCCTTTTAAAAGGAGAGACTCGCTGCAACTCTAATCCGCATGTGTACTCACGCAGTGTCCAGCGATGAAATCGGAGCGTTGGCTCCCCGAGTCAAAATTTTCCGCATGAACTCTCCCGAGAAGGTAAGCACTTGAGTAGAAGGCAAAAATTTCCGAAAATCTCTCGGCTCGTAGCCTTCCTGCAAGGAAATGTTAGGAAGATTCCGATGGCTCTCTTCATCCAATTCTTCATCGCAAGTCTACGCGTTCGAAGAAGGGAGTCCAAAGAAACACCTACGCTTAGCGACGACACACAAAAAAAAAAGCGGATCTCAGACGCAGCTTACCTGCATGGGGGTAACTGATACGAAGCTTTGATCACCACCACTATACACAGCTTTGTAGTATCCGGCATCATCCGAGTCGACATCGTTCACTTTTGTGAAATCTGACGAGTTCTGAGGAGACTTCCAAGGGCCAGGAACTACAACAGGAAGCCAGGAATTCTTGCCGGTTTTCGTACCAAGCTGCCCTGAGCCTCCGAGACCAAAAGCATATAAACGTCCTCGGGAGGCAATAAATGCGAGTGTGTGTCGTCTGTAACGAAATAAGCATCACTTGCTGTTTCTACACATCGTGTAAATGACGACCGAGCTTCTCGAAAGATTTTTCCCTACCTTCCGCAAGCTATTTGAGTAACTTCACTTCCCATCAATTCCAAAACTCGCCGTGGGAGAATCTCATTGGCAGTTGATCCGTGACCCAGTTGGCCATACATGCCAGCTCCAAAAGTGAACACACCGCCACTCTAAAAATTAAACAAACTTATATCGTGCAAAGGTCATCACGATCACTCGACCACGTTGAATTTCAAAGATGAACAACACAAATTAATTTAAAAAGGCTGCACATTAAAAGCTCAGAAGATTTCAATTAATTCAATAATCAAGCCGATTCTAGTCGGTGCGCAACACTTATTCTCAAAAGAACATTCGATGGACATCACATTTTTCGAAGTTGGGTGGATTATGTAAATTTTATCGATGCTTTTCATTTCTGTTCTCTGTGCAGAGAAGTACTGCATGGGATTTTTCCCACCTTAGGGAACGAAGCACGGAAGCAGCAATTTTCTCAGAAAATCGATTTTTGTGGTGTGACTACGCCTGGGAGACATTTGATTCTTTCCCTTTATTGCACAAACGGGCTTTCTGAAATGACATTTCTGCATCAGTGGCAAATTCAAGTATTACTTGGCTCCGTCTTTGAAATCATGGCATTCGTACTGATCTAATGTATCCTAACTTAATCTATTCAACCTTTAAATAAACCCTAAAAAAGTAAAACGATCCAGGCGACACCTCACACTCGAATAATTTTCAGGTGTCGACTGAATCTGAATGCAGTTCTGCACCTTTTCTTTCGAGTTTCTCCGTCTTGTAGTACAAACAACTAACTCGGAGTACTGCACTCGCACCAAATTCGAGAAGTAAATACAGTACTTCGAATCTGAAAACTAGAGAAAGGTTCGGAACATCTTCGTTCCCCAAAGTTCTACCAAATTTCACAACGACTAACTTTGGTCAATGCAACTGTGTGATCGCCACCAGCGGAAATGTAAGAAACTCGATGCGATCTGATAGTTCGCAACAACGACGGGAAGTGACGATCGGATTCATCGTCGATCCCCAGCTGACCGAAATGGTTGTTTCCACACGCGAAAAGTCCACCTGCATAATTTCGCCAATCATGAAAAAATGACATCCAGTGATTCAGTGAAAAAGGAAAAAAAAAATCAAACCGGATCGTGTCAAAATCACAGTATGAGAATGTCCGCACGCAATCTGTTTCACAGGAACACCTTCCAACGTCTTAATGGGGACCGGAAAATTCTCTTGTCCGCCTTTCTTTCCGATCCCGAGTTGCCCATGATTGTTACTGCCCCATGCAAACAGCTCGCCGGCTGCATGGACAAGCAAAAATGCCGATTACTGTACTGTATTTCGGCATCACTCTGAAGACACAGAAATTCGAACTTGCTTTCAACTAGGGCCACTGAATGCTGGTCCCCAGCAGCGATCTGCACAACTCGCTTGCCGCCGAAGGCCCTCAAGAACGTCGGTTTCGAGACACACGATTCATCCGCTTTTCCAAATCCTTAAATCATAGATAAATCGTGAAGAATTATCTTCCAAACACGAGTGACACAACCGTACATTTTCTACGCACCCAACTGCCCTGCAGTATTCGATCCCCAGGCAAAGATTTGTCCTTCCGAGTTCAACGCCAGAGTATATGAGCCGCCACACGCTGCTGTTACGATGTCATGGTCCTCCAGGGCATCGATTTTTTCTGAAATTCAGGGAAAAAGGTAAAATGTCATAACGTTATTTTTTTGAAGTAGTACAGGTTCTCCGCAACACGTCTTCCTTTGGTTCGTAGAAGTAACTTGTCATGTCAACCCGGGACTGTAAGCCTTAAGGGTGTAAGCCTACTAAGCTTCTGGGGACATTTAAAGCTCAAAAAATCTGACCCAAAATCCAGACAATTTACCAACATTCCTTGGCAAATGGACAAGCTTTTTTTTAAAGTTGATACACTATCTCTTAGTGACATTGAGCTCTTTATATTGACAAAAATTAATAAAAATTCCCTATAATTCATAATACAGAACAGGACAATTTTGGGCTTCTTCTTCGGAATTTTTTTCCATATTCTATGCACATTGTAGGTAGACTCATGCTTATTACAGTACTTGCTTTTTAGGCTACTTTTCATGCCAAAAGATCAGATTATGCGTGTTTCTTCAATGCAAAGTTAATTTCTATGCTGTATCTTGAAGGCGAGAAAACTAATTTTATTCAATTTTGGGGGACTTTTAATAATTTTTCATCAACAGGAGAACCAATTAAATATATGCCTATTCAAGTCTACAGGAAAAAGTGATCCAACATGCTGACGTTTCAACATAGAGACAAGGTCCAAGCACCGATTACGTCAGCATCTCGGGCCCCACTCTAATCGTAATATGGGGTGATGAACACGCATAATTCCCTCCAAAACAAGACTGAAGACGCATGAATTCGGAACAATCGCTTGACGACTGATATTTTTCCATCCAGAAAAATGTATCCCAGATTGAAATCATCCCTCGTATGGTACTGCGGCAAAAGCGATGCTCTTTGAAAGTTTAAGGAACTCGACGAAGGATGGGATTATTCACTCAATGCGACATGAAGTACTATTTTGACTGACATCTCCCAACATAAAAAATGACGTCACCGTCATGGAAGAAGAGGGGAAACGTCTAAATATTGTAAAATGACTACAGTCGAACCTCGTTAAACCGCCAACGTTTGTGCCACCAAATTTTGGCGGTTTAACAAGGGTGGCGGTTAAACGGGGGAAGCAAAAATTTTTTTTTCAATGGGGGAAGGTTGAAGAAGGGTGGCACATGCAAAATAAAAGCAGCCCATATAAGTGGAGCAAACTACTTCATTAGAGTTTTAAAGGATTCCATTTGAAATTTTCAGGGATTATAGCCTTATTCTTCCCTGCCATTCCACACACTCATCTCGGGCCCCACTCTAATCGTAATATGGGGTGATGAACACGCATAATTCCCTCCAAAACAAGACTGAAGACGCATGAATTCGGAACAATCGCTTGACGACTGATATTTTTCCATCCAGAAAAATTTATCCCAGATTGAAATCATCCCTCGTATGGTACTGCGGCAAAAGCGATGCTCTTTGAAAGTTTAAGGAACTCGACCAAGGATGGGATTATTCACTCAATGCGACATGAAGTACTATTTTGACTGACATCTCCCAACATAAACAATGACGTCACCGTCATGGAAGAAGAGGGGAAACGTCTAAATATTGTAAAATGACTACTTCTCTTAATCGCAATTTTCCGAATGGGATTTAGGAAACAACTAAACACTGGGACTTGCAACCACAAAGAAGATCACACCCACCCGGTCTCTTTCTCGTATCCTTCGTATGACCGAGTTGTCCGCAATCGTCCGATCCACACGAGTAAATTCTCCCGGATTTCGTCACGAACACCGTATGATGGTTCCCACTAGAAACTGAGAAACGAATCACCGTCATGAATGAATCTTGATCAATATTTCGACGAGAACACCACTCACTATGCACTATTTCTTTCGCCCACGGCTTCTTCAGCAACCTCGGTGACAATATGTGCTCTTCCTCGATCCCACCAAGCCCAAGTTCACCGTTCACTGAACTCCCCCAACAATACATAAGTAGATAATTTTCTGACGCACCGCGGTTAAACGTCTAACACAGACGGGTACGTAAAAATTTAGGCCCCCTGAATGAAGGAAATGATTTCACGAACGTCACGAACATCGTTCACATGAATAACACAATCGCAGCAGGAAATTAAAAGGGCACTAAAGAGGCCATCTTTCACACAAAATCACAGAAACCACAACTTGCACGCGATAATGATCAGCCCCAAGCTTTGGTCAGACAATAATAGAGAACTAGCTTTCCTTCCACGGCGAAACAGTCGTAAAGGTTTTGTAATCGCTGATCCGGCGATGGGGCGAATGTTTGATTGACGTAGACGAACTGAAGGATACAAACAGGAAAAGAAAGTAAAACTTGAACGCATGAAAAGACGTGAATTTCGAAGCAATACCATCCCTTGCATTAGGTATATTAATTGTACCGAACTGGGGTTTACGAATTTAGATTTTGAATGAACGCGTCGTATTAACGCATCCATCAGAGTTATTCAATGTCGTCTCCATCGTCGTCGGGGAACTTCACTCTTTTATAGATCCATTAGTATTTATGACGTATCAGCCCCATCATCAAATTTTATCCAATTCTTTGGGCACCGAATCAACGCTAAAAGCAGATTTGAATGCGAAACTCACCAATGAATCATTCGGCGCCAAGTTAAGATACTTCGTCCTCATGAATTCAAGAACCATGGCAAAAGTCTGATCCAGCGGCAACAAGAACTTCTTCTGCTTTTTGACAGGGGCACCACCCGTGGGCTTGAGCAGAACTGTAACTAAAAATTAATCCATTCTGATTGCACACAGTTGAACCTCGGTAACTGGAACCTCTCTCAAGTCGATTACATGTACCTCCCGATGTCGAACTTTTTCAAAGGCCAGTCTGAACTTCATAAGAAACAATGCCTTAAAAATCTCCTGAACTCAAAGGTTAGCCCCCTAAATCCTCCATTAGTTGAATTTTCTGGAGGCCTTTTGGCTATTATTTCACCAACACAGAAAATAGAAAAACAAAAAATGCAACTTGATGCGTTTTGAAAGAATGAAAAAGATTAATGGGGCAAACGAATCATTGCCTCCAAGTTCGGCATCCTGTTGACTTCATTTCAGATTGCCTAGCATACACCAATTACAATATCCTGTAATTCTTATTTGCTTCTACGAACACAAACGCCGCTCTCCCTAAGTTGAACTTGCTGCTGTACAGTATTTTCAAGTTTGACAGTAAAAACAATGCATCAGCTACTTTTGAGAATCATAAGGCGAAAAATGAGACCCTTCATGCGATACCTTTCGTCGGCTTATCATCCATCTGGCTCTCATTTTTGGTCGACGATTCTTCAACGTGTTCCTGTGGCGGCAGTTCGGAAATCGGAGGGTTTTCCTCCAATGTTTCAGGAAGTACATGTCCAACGTCTTCTGTTTCACATTCATCCATCGCACTCGAAGGTACACGTTATCGTCACCAAACAAGAATTTCAAGCATATCAGTACTGCGGTATCAAATAAATATGCCTCAGGTTTATCTCGCGAATCAGGCGTATGTCATCCAACGAGCTTAGCATATCAATTGAAAATGCTTCAGACTTTCGTTTCTTATATTCACAATCATGTTCGAAAATCCGATCTCCAAAAACCCATTAAAACATTCATTCACATCAATCTTGAAATTTTATCAACGAAGTAGATCGGATACTTTGAATGCTTTCCCACAATTCTCACGTTATACAATCCATCTTCCATTTTATTCAATTCAGCGAAAATTTCTGCATCGCCTTTCAAATCTGCGGATGAAAACAGCGCTTCGTCAAGTAGGGCAAGTCAGTTGGCAAGCCATTACGTTACAAACCTCTTCTTATAAATAATTGTGCATAAGGAGGAATGGAGCAGTTTCCCTTCGACATTTGACGCGCACTTCCGGGGCGAAGCTTTGTTAAAATACCATCGTCCAGCTTCCAAGCTTTACGAGAATTCAAAGCCACTGCTCGATGGAACTGAGAACCTTCCAGAGAGAGGATCACAGAAAACAACGGTATAACACACGACATAGTCAACACGCTTAACCTTGAAAATGTTCGACGGCAGAAATTGAAATCAAGTCGAACGATTAGTTGGATAACTCAACACTAACGTAGAAATTTCTTTACTTTGTCTAACAAAATTCGGCATGATTTTTTCTGTTCGATTTTAAATAATCTCCACGTTTAAGATTAACTAAGACTCCTTTTTTAACAGTAAAAAAGCTCATGAAGCTCATGCGACGACTAGAAGTTTTAAAAAAGTCATTAACTTTTTGCGCTCAAGATGTACGGAGTATTTTATCATCCACGAGCGACGAACAACATCCAATAGAGGGCACGAATATAATCTTAGTTTTACGCAGATTAGATTGGCTACATTGAGATTGTTACAGCTACAGAGCATTGAAGAATGTCAGAAGATGGCCTGTGGATCGCATTCATGGAACTACACCTTCTGTTTTAACAACGAATTCGATATTTTATCAAGGCTTCACTAGTGCTAGTGGATGAGTGGCAGAATTACAGGAACATACCTGGTTCTTCGCCTTCGATGGACAACAAAATCATTTGATTGGGACGGAGTCCATCAACAACTTCGCTGGAGCTCGCTTGCGGGTTGAGATTATTTCGTTTCGGCATATCGTCGAGCAAAGTTCCGGAGAAATGGAAAAGCTTCATCAAGTCCGGATCGATCACGGGTTTATTGACATACACTTTAATGTCTCCGCATTTCAGTTCTTCGTACCGCACATCTGACGGCCACGTCAACCGTTCACCAGCAAACGTCACAAGAGGCAGCTCACTTGCAACTGCTTTCTTTGAACTTTCTACAGCCGGCAAATCTTCGGACGCGGTATTACCGCAGACGCTTTTCAATGCTGCATTCTTTGGCGAACTAATCGGATTTTCGGCTTTCGAATTCAGCGACACGGTCTCAGAAGTGCTCTACAGATAAAACGAGACAAAGTTGATAGGCATTCATATTCTCAGACAACAATTAATCATCAGCCATTCACCTCATCACGGACGTGAATAACTTTTCTTGCCAGTTGAAAAAAGCGATCCCTCATGGCTGTTGTTTTTGTCATAAATTTGATCTGATCTGAACTCATTCGCGCTTCACCTCCGACCTGAAAAAAGACGGCGGACTCTCCAACCAGCACAACAGCTTTAGGAATTAAGGATTTACATTGTTCCTCAGGCGCTCCGTGAACGTAGCACACAGGGCAATGTCAACATCATTCTGTACACTGTCGATCAAATCAAGAAGCTCCTGCGCCGTGAGTTGGACCTCTTTGCCCTGAAGAATACACCAAAAACATGCCCTTATCGAAGGAATAAAATTAAACCAGGGTTCGTCAAACGTACGTCCAAATCATTAATTTGCAAATCCTGGATGCGTGATATGGCATCGTGTAGTCGCAAACAGCCAGCAGTTGCGTTGAAGATAACATTCAAGTTAGAATTCCCTGCGATCGCGGCCATGCTCGCTCATAAGTAACTGACTCAGCACCGTCTGCGGAGAAAAGGAATGAATGAAATGAACTGCAATTGCGTTTTCCACCTAAGGTTTCAGCTTCAAGGTGAGAAGCGGAAAGTGCTTGGGTCTCCCCAACTAGGATAGCTCCGGAATGGAGTTCGAAGCCCTTTTCTTGTTTCAGATATTCTATGGACAATTCACGGCACATCGCAAGCTAAAAAAAATGAAAGAACGAGACGCAGTTCCCGAAAGGTTGGACAATTTTCTATCCTTCGATCGAACAGATTTCCAAGCCATGGCATTGACAACGAAGAATCCGACAAGCTAGGGATCGACGCAGCGTTCCTCTGTATGTCAAAGAAAACCCGGATAAGCCGAAAAGTCATCGAGCAAAACAAACCTCGTACTGTACATACTCTGATACCAGCGGAATCGTATTACTTCAATTACGTTGCTTTCCAGATACACATATATACACGCTTCCAATCGTCAGAGCAATAGAAAAATCCTTTTCATAATCCTTACGTGTCACGAATTCTCAACTCCACCGGACATTGATTACACGAAAATCACAGTCGCAAGATTAACTCTAGCTGTGGTCAAGGTTGCCTAAACCGTCAAGCGTAAATTCATGTCAAGTGCTCATGGGTCAGTGCCCATTTCAATCCATACCACAGCTCCATTCAGTAAGGATCAACAATCCTTTCTGCACCAGAACAACAAGTTGGCAACACAAGACTCTGGGCAGCAAAACTTGGCCCCTTGCAACAACCAGGTCCCTGGCAACCCACCCAAGAAAGAACCTCGGGAACCCAGATGGTTATCAAGCAACCAGAAAGCGAGGAAACATGATTCCGGCCACCCCAGGCAAGGGGAAGGTGACCAGAGCCAGAAGGCGACAAAGAGAAGGGCAGAAGATAGCAATATGTTGAACGACCAACACGTACCCTACCTCTGTGTACAAAAAAGCTTACTGTGTGTGCAAAGAAGATCATTAAACTTCGTGAAGCTTTGCCAGTAAGCCTGCTTGAACCTGACCATGTCTACATTCACTTATGCCACATCCAGTTGCGCAGGCGTAGACAGCTCAGCGTAAGTTTGTTAGGAGTACTTGGAGCATGGTATTCCCCACACAACGTGTGCAAAGTTTATTTTGAGGATTTAATCCCATGCTTTAAATCCTCAAAATAAACTTTGCACACGTTGTGTGCCATCATGGTCAGTACAATGCCTCCTGTGAAAATAGATTTCCAGCAACTCAACATTTTTTTCTACCACAGTAAACACTGCTTTGTGTGCAAAGAAGATCATTAAACTTCGTGAAGCTTTGCCAGTAAGCCTGCTTGAACCTGACCATGTCTACATTCACTTATGCCACATCCAGTTGCGCAGGCGTAGACAGCTCAGCGTAAGTTTGTTAAGAGTACTTGGAGCATGGTATAGTAAGACTTTCTAGTCTCTACACACACAATCAGGCGTTGACACCTTCTTGCACTAACACATACACAGAGTGGAACACAACGGTAGCGGTTTATTGGCACTCACTCAGGTAGCGGATTATAAATATGACAATACACAGTACGCACGATAAAAGGCACTGGTTCGCGTGACGACCGCTCGGTTCGGGAGCTATAGACAAAGTGAGGCTCTCTAAGGCCTCAGGGGTACGGGCGCGAGTCGGTTGACGCAAGCGCGCTCGTACATTGCGTCAGCCGGTTCGGATTGGTGCGGCGTAACAAAGTAAGAAAAACAGTCGATGTCGCGTTTAGGCCTTTTGCGCGGGCCATGATGGCGGTGCCTATGGGCCCGCGCGGGGGTCGTACTGTATAGGGTACGAAATTTAGGAGTTTTATTTGAAACGTGTGCAACACACGGTAGTACCAGTCATGTTACGGAGGACACTTTTATCTAAAGGTCGTTGAGTTGTAAAAAAAGATGGTGTCATTTGTGACGAACAAGAATCACTGTGGAATTAACTTTCTTCTGAATTCTCTTGAAACAAACCACGCTGTCCGCTCAGGACGCTCACTGCAGAACTTTAGTCAGCAAGTGCTGGCTACCCCTCAATCACTCCATCAGGGCGGGTATGCTGTACCTGATGAGGAGTATTCCCCGCCTCCTACACCTCTGTATAGCCGGAGATCTAGTAACTGGGTTAATCCAGTGCCCTGGACTTGAAGAAAGTGCGCGAATACTTACTCAATGATATCTCCAGCATTTTAGGTCTAGCCTCGTATACCCCTAAATAAACTACGCAGTAAGACTTTATGTCAAGTCACAGAACACATTATGTTTGATTTGCTCATAAAGCGATGCACTGCGAAAGTTGTATTTATGGAGAGAGCATGCAGCACAGCTTTTTTCATTGCTGCGTGAAGTTAACTGTTATTTTAATGGAGTCCAAAAGGACGACTTCGTCGGAATAATTTTAAAATATATTCTGCCTGGCTTTCATCTTCAAGAACGACGCAACTGAGATGTGGCGAATCCCAACTAAATTTCAATGCTGTACATGGAAGAACATACGAGTATGTATACATACATACAGTATTCTCATAACTGCTAATAACTACCGCTTATGTACAGCAGTATGGTACTTCAGTATAGATAGTGAAAAATAATACTGTACTTTGATGTATTCTTATGCAGGTTGACACGCTCTGATGTATCCCGGATTCAAGGGCGTTGACGAAGGGATAAGCATCGCAGTTCACATATTCGTTCAATAACAATTTTTTTCTTTTTATTATTCCAACAATTCGCATCTTACACAAATGGGTCTTTGAGCCACTTTTAGTACCGGTTTTGCTAGGAGACAGGGAAATTATTGGGAGGCGTTTGGCAGCTTAGAGCTAGGTTTTTTATCAGTAGCTAGCTATTATCAGTGGTCGTCTAAAAACGCTCGTGTCAGAAAAATAACCGCGATCCTCCACGAAAAGATCGCAATTTTTTTTTTTTAATTGGAACCCGAATGACGTAAAAAAAAAACAGGTAATACGGAAAAGTTCAATTATCACAAAGACTTCAGGAATCATTTCGTTGTCTATCGATTTTGACATGATGGCTACACTTATTCCAAAGAGATATCGTCAAAACCCCGGAGGTAACCTCGACATTCAAACAAACAAACAAAAATATGCCGCTGGAACGATTATTTACATTTGAGTCGGTCGAGAAAAAAGATGCGGATATATATAACAGACCCGCGACTTCATTTTCCCGGGGGTCTATTTATATATACGGAGAAACAGAAAAATAATCGTGCAATCGTACCGAAATCAGCACAACAACAAAAACCGCACGACATTTTTCACGTGAAAAAACAAAACTTTTTGTTTGAGCATTTCTTCAGGCAACGTGTCCTCGGCGATGATAATCGATCGACGCGAGAGCTGGAAGCGTAAAAAAAAAAAAAAAAAAAAACAACACACACACACATACACACACAAATGGTTTCTTCCTACAACCTTTTACTAAGCAAAATTTTTCTTTCTCCCCCCTTCACGACATCATCATCATCTTCTTCATCATAAATTGAGAAACCATTTCTCTCGTTCTCTCATATATATCTGGATCGTCACAGCCATTGGCTTCGCGAAACAAAAACTTTTTTTCAGACTCGGGATCACACTTCCGACGCCGATTCCGGATTAAATCATTTGCTCATCAGTGTTTCACCAGCTCCATGAACTGGAATGGGTGAAGCTAACAAGACAAAAACACGAGCTGGTTGTTCACTGGTGCAAATACCCGACGGGGGTGCTGGTAATGACAAAGCGGGAACTCATCGTGGTGCAGCTAACTGGGTAGGAGACGTTGCTTTATTGAAAATACGTGGAGAAATTGAAACAAATGATCACCCAAACCAGCAAAAGCTCTGAATTTTTGCTCCGAATTACAGCGAGACCCCGATATGCGGACACCCCAACATGTGGGCAATTCGACTTAGGGACACTTGGAAACTGAAAAAATAAGGCCAGACATCTACACATTGGCTTGAGGTAGGGACAATTTTCATAAATTTCCCCAAAAAATCAAATCATTTTATTTTTAATTTTGATATCTTTTGAACAAATTGAGCTGCTTCTATTCAAAAAATTAAAAAAAATGTCATGATAAATTCACTCTCATTTACAATCAAAGGTAAGCTGAGTTTGTGCTTCTTAATTCAGTTTTTCCCTATCATCTGTGCATTAATTGTTGAGCAAGACTTAATCTTTTTATTTGCTTTTTGATCTCCTTTTGAAACCAAAATATCAGATTCTATGTGGTTTTGTTCTGCACTGTTGTTTTCTACAACTTGAAGTTGAGGGAAACAATTTTCTTACATTTTTTCAGCACTTATTTCAAAATGTTTGACAAAAAGGAGAAACAATTAAATACATTAGCATTGAAGTCTAAGGGAAAATTAGACTCAACCTGGGGACATTCTGACGCCAGGACACACTTTATGCACCAATTATGTCCGCATCTTGGGGTCTTAATGTACATCAATTAAATCGGAAAAAGACGGATCTAGGACAATTCGAAAACCCAGAATTCTCTGGGTTTTTCGCTCATGTTTTATATACGATGAGAGATTTTTTTCGAGTTTTCCTCACTTCCTTTCTTTTCTTGATGCATTTTTAAAATTTTATTTTCTATATGATGAAGAATATGCGATAAATTATAAGTTATACAGTACAGGTTTTATATAAAATTGACCTTTTCACGAATTCGCCCTGTCTCGAATCGTCCGTATCCCCCCCGCCAGAAAACGGACACGTTTTGTCCAAAAATGTCGGGAAGCATGTCGCCAATTATCACGACGAAAGATTTACCGATAGACTTCGAAATGTCGGCGTCGAAAATTGGGTTAAAAATAAAAATGTTCCCTTTAAAATAGAACTTAACGCGAAGAATAAAACATTTACGTCATCGACCCTCGCTAAAGTTTATCCTAAAAGTCGGTTTGATCTTTTTACTTTTCTCTGATCCTCAAGCAATGCGACAATAATTATACTGAGGCAACAAGCGGCTTAATGTTACCAAAGACGAGCAACGCAAAACAG